CGTGCTTCAAAGACACCTCCCCCCCCTAAAAACCTACCCCAAAGGGCCCGGGGAGGTGCCGGGGCCACCAGCAGAGGGGGAGGCCACAGTGTCCCCCAGCCCCCAAACCTGACTCAATTCCTCACCCCAAATCTCTACAGGAATAGTTGGGTTTTTGGGATAAAGGGGGAGAGGGGGTGCTGCTCCCCACAGTTATTTTGGGGGAGATTGGTAGGTTTTTTTGGAAGCCTGGAGCAGAACTGCTTTGAGGGGCTTTTTTGGGGGGGAAAGGGGGAGCCCCAGCACCAGCTGCAACCCCAGGGATGCTCAAGAGCTGGGTTAAAGACTGAGGAGGATAAAAGTCCTTGGCAGGATTTCCAGCCCCTTCCAGCCTTTAACTGGGTCCCCTGGGCCCGGCCAAGGTGGAGAAATGGGGCGAAACCTCCCGGGAATTGGGGCTAAATCCCCAGGAATTGGGGCTAAACCCCCTGGAACTGGGTTTAAATCCCTGGGAATTGGGGCTAAACCCTTAGGAATTGGGGCTAAACCCCCCAGAATTGGGTCTAAACCCCCCAGAATCGGGGCTAAACCCCTGGGAACTGGGACTAAACCCTTGAGAATTGGGGCTAAACCCCTGAGAATTGGGGCTGAACCCCCAGGAATTGGGGCTAAACCCCCCGGAATTGGGGCTAAACCCCCAGAAACTGGGTCTAAACCCCTAGGAACTGGAGCTAAACCCCCGGAAATGGGGCTAAACCGTTGGGAATTGGGGCTAAATCCCCCAGAATTGGGGCTAAACCCCTGGGAATTGGGTCTAAATCCCTGGAATTGGGGCTGATTCCCCAGGAATTGGGGCTAAACCCTTGTGAACTGAAGCTAAAGCCCCAGGAATTGGGTCTAAACCCTTGGGAATTGGGTCTAAACCCCCCAGGAACTGGGGCTAAACCCCCAGAATTGGGACTAAACTCCTGGGAATCGGGGCTAAACCCCCCGGAATTGGGGCTAAACCCCCGGGAATTGGGGCTAAACCCCCGGGAATTGGGACCAAAATCCCAGGAACTGGGGCTAAACCCTTGGGAACAGGGGCTAAACCCCTCGGAATTTGGGCTAAATGCCCTGGAATTGGGTCTAAACCCTTGGGAATTGGGGTCTAAACCCCCTGGAATTGGGGCTAAACCCCCCAGAACTGGGGCTAAACCCTTGGGAATTGGGGCTAAACCCTTGGGAATTGGGGCTAAACCCCCCGGAACTGGGGCTAAACCCCCCGGAACTGGGGCTAAACCCTTGGGAATTGGGTCTAAACCCCCGGGAACTGGGGCTAAACCCCTGGGAATTGGGGCTAAACCCCTGGGAATTGGGGCTAAACCCCCCAGAACTGGGGCTAAACCTCCCAGAATTGGGGCTAAACCTCCCAGAATTGGGGCTAAACCTCCCAGAATTGGGGCTAAACCTCCCAGAATTGGGGCTAAACCCTTGGGAACTGGGGCTAAACCCTTGGGAACTGGGGCTAAACCAACAGGAATTGGGGCTGAACCCCCCGGAATTGAGGCTCAACCCCCGGGAATTGGGGCTCAACCCTTGGGAATCAGGGCTAAATCCCCTGGAATTGGGTCTAAACCCCCCAGAATTGGGGCTAAACCCCCGGAAATTGGGGCTAAACCCCTGGGAAATGGGTCTAAACCCTTGGGAACTGGGGCTAAACCCCCCGGAATTGGGGCTAAACCCCTGGGAACTGGAGCTAAAACCCCCGGGAATTGGGGATAAACCCTTGGGAACTGGGGCTGAACCCCCGGGAATAGGGGCTAAACCCCTCAGAATTGGGTCTAAACCCCCCGAAATTGGGGATAAACCCTTGGGAATTGGGGATAAACATCGGGAATTGGGGCTAAACCCCCTGGAATTGGGGCTGAACCCCTGGGAATTGGGGCTGAACCCCCCGGAATCGGGGCTAAACCCTTAGGAATTGGGGCTAAACCCCCGGGAATTGGGGCTAAACCCCCCAGAATTGGGACTAAACTCCTGGAAATCAGGGCTAAACCCCCCGGAACTGGGGCTAAATCCCCAGGAATTGGGGCTAAATCCTTCGGAATTGGGGCTGAACCCCCAGGAAGTGGGGCTAAACCCCCAGGAATTGGGGTTAAACCCCCAGGAATTGGGGCTAAAACCCTGGGAACTGGGGATAAACCCCCCGGAATTGGGTCTAAACCTCCTGGAATTGGGGCTAAACCCCCGGGAAATGGGGCTGAACCCCCGGGAAATGGGGCTGAACCCCCGGGAAATGGGGCTGAACCCCCCAGAATCGGCGCTAAACCCTTAGGAATTGGGGCTAAACCCCTGGGAATTGGGGCTAAACCCTCAGGAACTGGGGCTAAACCCCTGGGAATTGGGGCTAAACCCTTGGGAATTGGGGCTAAACCCCCCGGAATTGGGGCTAAACCCCCCGGAATTGGGGCTAAACCCCCAGGAACTGGGGCTAAACCCCCAGGAACTGGGGCTAAAACTCCAGGAACTGGGGCTAAACCCTTAGAAATTGGGTCTAAACCCCCCAGAATTGGGGTTAAACCCTTGGGAATTGGGTCTAAACTCCCCGGAATTGGGGCTAAACCCTCAGGAATTGGGGCTAAACCCTTGGGATCTGGGGCTAAATCCTTAGGAATTGGGGCTAAACCCTTGGGAACTGGGGCTAAACCCTTGGGAATCGGGGCTGAACCCCCAGAATTGGGGCTAAACCCCTGGGAATTGGGGATAAACCTTTGGGAATTGGGGATAAACCCCTGAGAATTGGGGCTGAACCCCCAGGAATTGGGGCTAAACCCCCCGGAATTGGGGCTAAACCCCCCGGAATTGGGGCTAAAACCTTAGGAATTGGGGGTAAACCCCCGGGAACTGGGGCTAAACCCCCCAGAACTGGGGCTAAATCCCCCGGAATTGGGGCTAAACCCCCGGGATCTGGGACTAAACCCTTGGGAACTGGGGCTAAACCCCCTGGAAATGGGGCTAAATTCCCTGGAATTGGGGCTAAACCCCCTGGAATTGGGGCTAAACCGCTGGGAATTGGGGCTAAACTGCCGGGAATTGGGGCTAAAACCTTAGGAATTGGGGCTAAACCCCCGGGAACTGGGGCTAAACCCCCCAGAACTGGGGCTAAATCCCCCAGAACTGGGGCTAAACCCCCCAGAACTGGGACTAAACCCTTGGGAACTGGGGCTAAACCCCCTGGAAATGGGGCTAAATTCCCTGGAATTGGGGCTAAACCCCCCGGAATTGGGGCTAAAACCCTGGGAACTGGGGCTAAACCCTTGGGAATTGGGGCTAAAACCCCTGGAATTGGCCTGGGAATATCACAGCTCCCCCCAGTCACTGCGGGAGGGAGAAGCAGCCTCTTTTGAGTTTCACTCTGATTTTTAGGAGAGAGGGAAAAAAAAGAAATCACTTGGGGATGAGGGCAGGTTCCCCTGGGACCAGGGACCTTTTCTGGCAGCTGAGGGGGGTCTTCAAAGGAGGGATTTGGGATTGAGGGGGGGGGACACGGTCCCTCTGGGTGACCCAAGTGGCAGCTGATGGTTTTGTGCCACGTTGGGCAGAGGGAAAAAGGGGAGAGATGAAGCTCCCGAGCCCTTTTATCCTGGGGACGCCATCGATAAGTAAACAAATTGTAGAATTAAGAAAAAAACACTGATAAATAACAAAAAAGACCAACTCAAAATCCCAGTGACCCCCTCTTGCCCTTAAAGCCCCTCATCGCTTTGTCCCTGCACCTGGCAGGGACTCGGGATGTCCCAAAACACCATCCTCATCCTCCCCCGGGCCTTCCTCGCCTCCGCTGCTGCTGCTGCTGCTGCAAAACCCGCTCCTCCCGTCA